GTATCAAGCGCCACCAAGATGAAATTTTTCCGCATAGCAACAACAGTAGATCATCAAGTTCGTTAATACATAATGTGATCACTCCCTTTCGTTTCTCTTCTGCAAGTACTAAATGGTCAGCTGGAGATGTCTGAAACTTATCATTAGAAGGCCATGACTGTTCAGGGTGTGCTAACCAACTAGGCCCTGACCAACAAAGTATATGTTCAACTAGTTGCGAGGGTAAAAGGCCACGAGAAGCACAATCCGCTGGGTTGTGTTCGGATCGAATATGTCTCCACTGATTTCTAGGAATTATATCTAATATTTCTGCTGTTCTGTTGCTAACGAACGTTGTCCATTTTCTAGGTGGTGCGGAAAGCCATTGAAGAACTATTTCTGAATCCGTCCAACAAATGATATTTGAAATTTTCAAAGTCAGCGACTCTTTGATGAGAGTGATGAGTCTCGCTAGTAACAAGGCAGCATTCAGTTCAAGCCTCGGAACTGAAATCGGTTTAAGTGGCGCCACTCGCGTTTTAGAAGCAATTATCGGATGGCGTAGGTGTTATCAATAGGCACCCGACAGTAAACAACAGCTGCGCAAGCTACTGTTGATGCATCTGAGAACCCGATAAGTTCCACAGGTTTTGAGGGATATGATATGTATCGTGGTATCTTAAGATGTTTTAAATGATGCAGTTCTCCCATGTAGTTGCACCAACGTCTGCATAAGGTCTCCGGTAACCGTAACACCAGGATTCCTGAAATAAAACTTTAAATAAAACTACAATGGGCGCAACCATACCTAATGGATCGTAAATCTTCGAGGTTTCGGACAACACCATTCGTTTCGTAGGTTTCGGCTCAACTACAGGATCACCAATATTCAAAATAAGTTGGTCACTAGATGGATTCCAATGAACTCCAGTATTTTGACTGATGTTTCAGACGTTTGAGAATGTATGGATATAGGATTAAACTCGCAAACTGCCTTTGGTAATGTTTCTAGCAGAGGCCAACAATTGGAGCTCCACTTTCTCAGGTTGAAGTTAGCTTTTGACAAAAGTTCTATAAGTTCGTCTTTCAGTGCAATAAGTTCTTCCACTGTGTCACATCCAGTGGGTATGTCATCAACGTAAGCGTCGTTTTCAAGAACGCGTGAAGCTTTAGGATATTGTTCTTTGTAGTCCTCAGCGATTTGTTTCAAAACACGCACAGCAAGATAATGCTCAATGTTGGATGTTCGTTCATGCCTCAGTACAATGCGTTGGTAATCAGTTTGTTCTGGATGCAATCTTATGCCTCTGAACATTTTCTCAATGTCAGTTGAGAATACATATCGATGCTGGCGAAAACGTAAGAAGACACCAAACAAATCGCGTTGGATTGGTGGACCAATATGTAGCCGATCATTTAATGAATATCCAGATGAATTTTTTACGGGAACCATCAAAAACCACCCGGAATTTAGTTGTAGAGCTGTCAATCTTACTAACTGGATGATGTGCTAAGTAAAAACGGTTTGACGTGTAAACATTAATCTGCTGCTCTGGAATCAATTCCATGTGACCCAATTCTAGATATTCATCCAAAAAAGCTGTATATTGCTGTTTAAGAGCAGGCTGGCGTTGCAATTTGGCATCTATATTATTAAGGCGTGCAATAGCTTGTGTTAGAGTGTCATCGATGGGCTTCATATCAGCTTTAAATGGATATTTGACCACATAGGTTCCATCCTCACCTCTTTGAACTGTTGAAGAAAAATGTTTTTCTACAGGATCGTGTTCGTCGATTTTGCTTTTTGATGATTGTAAATTATCCATTTCCAAAAGTGACCGAACAAGGTAATCGACATCTTGCAATGCATGACTTCCTGAAACGTGTGGTGGATATTCGGCCTCAGATAAACACGAACCAGTAATTACCCAACCGAAGACGCTATTCACAGCATTCAGAGTTTCATTTATTAACTGAATCTTTTCGCCTGTTAGAATTTTCCAAAGTTGATCAGAACCAATAATCATATCTACTGGACCAGGGATCCCGAATGTTGGATCCGCCAACGATAGTTGCTTAATTTGTTCACGTGTCTGTTTGCATAAGTTAATTGGATGTGATGGTAGTGTCGAAGTCAGCTTCTGGAGAATAAGCGCTTCAACAATAAAACTGTTTTCATTGCTTGCAGAATGTAGTGTAAGAACCACACGGCCGCGCGTAATGCCAACGCTTTGCGAGGAGAGCCCTGTGATTGGGACACGAGCATGTTGACGTTTTGCACCTATCAATTGCACCAATGCTTCCGTAACGAATGAGGCTGTCGACCCACTGTCAATCAGCATTCGACAATTCACCGCAGTGCCCTGTTGATCATTAACCCTAACAAGTACGGTAGGTAAAATTATTTGCGAAGGAATAGTAACCTTTTCCATAGAATGATTACTCAAGATAGGCTGACTTTCAACCTTTTGATTAGTTATTGTATTATCCACAGTCGCTACAGTTTGTTTCTCGACATCTTTCGGCTTGGCGTTGGGTTCAAAATGTAAAAGAGTGTGATGAGGAGAATAGCAAACTCGACATTTCATAGAACTCGAGCATTTATTAAACTGATGGGAGCTGCTTAGACAATTATAGCATAATTTTTTAGATTTCACAAACGATCTTCTAGCAGTCACATCAAGTGCTTTAAATTTAGGACAATGAGTAAGCGTATGTACATCAGTGCATTGCATTGCACACTGATTACTTTGTTTCCCTTTTAAAGAATGAGCGAAATGAACCACAGCCGAGCGTCGACCTGTTGAGTGTGTATTGGATTGGCATGTTTCCAGAGAATCGCACCGGCGAACTAAAAACTGTAGCAAATCTTCGAACGATCGTTCTGTACTTGCATCGCTGGATTCTGCCCAATCTTTCTTACTTTCATCATCCACCTTGGTAAGAAGTATATGTATTAACCATGGATCCCGTTGATTAGAATTGAGAGCATTGAGTCCCCGCATAACCTCATCTGCTCCGTATGTTATTTTTCGTAAGGTTTGTGCATTTGCCGTATGACAAGTAGGAAGGGACAAAAAAGATTGTATAAATGATCGTACGATGAGCGGTTTACGATCATACCGTTGGGTTAGCCGATCCCATGCTTCCAAATAATTACTGTCAGTCGGAGCCAAATGTTTTACTAACTTCAACGCTTCTCCCGCTAGGTATGACTTCAAATAATGGAATTTTTGCGTTGATGTTAAATTTGTCTTTTGGTCGATGGCACCAGTAAATAAATCCCTAAAAGAAGGCCAATCCTGGTAGCTGCCAGAAAACGTAGGAACTTGAATTTTAGGTAGATGAATGTTCGAAATGTTTTGGGTTTCATTTAGGCGCTCAAGAAATGCAGCTTGTTGACCAGCCAACTTATTGATCGAGTCCTCATTCAGTGAACATGGGAATTCTCGAGCCTTAGCCTTCAGTGCGGTAGACAGCAATGCGTGAGCAGTAAAGTATTTCTCCTTGTAATCCAAGATGTCTTCTACTGGATCTACAAACCCGTCCTGATCTTCGTATTCGTACAACTGTTGACTCAATTCTGCCAAATCACTAAAACTTTGCTCCAATTTTTGCAAACGATTGGACAAAAGCTCCACATTGACTGGCTCCTCAATATTTTGCGAAATATCGTACGCTCGAGATATATACGCTTTAGCCCAGCCCCGCTTCCGAGTTATCACATTCATTTTTTTTCTAAATTTGAAAATGTTTTAAGCTTTTTGCTTTTATTGTTCAGCTTAACCAATTCCCTCGTGAATCGGTTTGTATTTATAGATGAATTGTAGAACTGGAACCCGCTTGATCCGGCTCGAAGGACCAAATTTTCTATGGTACCGAACAATGAAAAGACTCAGAGTTATATTGAATGTCACAAATTTATTTTGATTAATTTGCCGACGGTAATGTCGCGATAGTCGTCATGATACACAGAGACTAAAAATTCGTCTGACTATGTGAAATATCAAAAGGTCTTTTGCTTATGCACATAAGTACATACATATTTACATTTTAAAGAAATAGAGAACAATGCATATGTAGAAAGTAATAACAAAATATACTTATAAATAAGTACACAGTTACATGTTAGGAAAATAGAAAAACAATAGGTGGACTGTAAAACCAAATGGTTAGCGGTACAATCATACGATCGCTGCTTTGAAGACTTACCGCCCTATTCCCACAACACTGACAAAATTCATCATATGACTATTGTCACAATTACTGCGCCTAAAACACAATATAAACATTGGTTCGCCGTTGTCACTTACTCAGTAGGTCATAACAATAAAACTGACAATTGTCATACGACAGCTTAAAATAAATTTGCGGCATAGTATTAGGCGCGGTAGTAAAGGCAATAGTCAGCCGCTGAGTTTTGTCAGTGGTGTGGGAATAGGGCGGTAATATACATTTCTGCCTATATGTACTTATGTTGAAATGGTATGTACATAATGAGCTCAGCGGTTCTCAATCCATGACAAGACCTGAGGGGTTTGCAAACAGTTTTTAAGATGTAATGAGTGCTCAAAGGTTCCCAAACATAAAGTATGCTCGACCACTCAAAATTTCTTTTTATATGGAAGGAAATGCCTAGTAGCGTCAGCAAAAAAAAATATTAAAAATTAATGGGCTATGAAACTGCATACCCAAAATTTTTCAAACAAATCTGATTAAAAAGTTTGAAATTTTTGGGGGATTTTGTTAAAATTTGTTGAATTTTTATAATTTTTGTACAAACTTTAAAATATGGATTTATATAGTGTGTGTCATATATTGCGCTAGACTTTTATACAAAAACATTAAACATCGAATAAACGAAGTAATATAGCCAAAACTGGTCAAAGTAAAAAGTTTCTATTATTTCTTCCACCACTGTATATCGTCGTTTAAAGTACAAAACCGCTTATCGTCATTCTGCAAAACTGCGTAACTGGCATTAGCTGCCAAAAATTGGATTTGCTCACATATGGTCTTGGCTCAATCCGTATCCATTCGTCCTGAAATATACTGGTTAGGTATGCGATTGCTTTATAAAAAAGAGAACTATTTTGAATATGAGTGGTTATACCCTCTAGAAGATAATTTACATAATTCACATACGCGGCAAGGTTGTTGCGAATATTCGCATTCGCAACCGCGGAGCTTCTGCATTAATTCTAACATTCGCATTCGCATTCGCATTAATCAATGCGGATCTTTTGCGAATGCGAATATTGAAGGGACCGAAAATAACAGTTATTTTTTACGAGTTAAACTTGGCCAAATATTTTTTATTCACAACTAAAAGTCCTTTCCGGATAATAATCAAACCGCTTATCCAAATTAAACAAGTTTGGTATCAAATTAAATTGCTTTAAAGCTGAAATGTCTAAACAAGCAAAGCCACCTATTGAAAAAGATTTCAATCAAAAATGTTAATTAATTACCATAGAACAAACCGGCATATGAATTTCTTTAGTATTAAACAATTTAAAAAAATATAAATAGGGGTGGTAACCTTCGTTCGTTATTTCTGTTTAAAAGCTATTTCAGTCCCCTTTCTCATGATATTAAATTTGTTTAATTTTGATAAGCTGTTTGTTTATTATCCAGAAAAAACTTTTTTTCGGAATAAATAATATTAGGCCAAGTTTAACTGGTAAAAAATAAGTGTTATTTTCGGTCCCTGGAATATTGTGCAAGTGCACTGATAAAACGTATATCTGGCCAGTCACAGAAGAAAGGATTAAAAATGAATTACAAAAACTAAAATCGAAAACGCTGTTGACGTTACAGGTTCTCCAAATTCAGAAACAACCAAAAGAATGAGAATGAAGAATTCTTTGGAAAACAACGGTGTTTAAACAACGATCTTGCCATGATACTAGATTGTGAAAATGAAAGTCAGGAGGATACATCCGACATTTGCAGCCCGATGCAATTCTCAAAAAAGAATTATTGCACCGCTATAAAAAAAAAACAATAAATATAACTGAAAATCCTCTCGACTGGTGCAGCGTCAATCGAAAAGAATTTACAATTTTGTCAAGTTTCAAGGTTTCCAAGTTTGTTATTTAGTGGCCCTGATTTACGACCCTTTAAAAACTTATTATTGGATACAATGTTACAATTTTTAAATTCAAGTACTAAAAAAAATATTATTAAAAATTACTAACCTTAACATTTTTTATTTAACTAAATCACCTAATTTATTCGCCTAAATTATTTCTTAACAAGTAAAAAAGTCTAAGTTCGGGCGGAGCCGAACATTAAATACGCGGCGCAAGTATTCAATATAGTTTTTTCACCTTTCCGAAAACTACCGCTACATGGTAAGCAAGGGTGGGGTTACCCCTATTTCAAACATCTTCGATAGAATGTTCAGTTTTTCTTAATAGAATTGGTACACTTACAGCCGATTTGAATTTAATTTCTAATATGTGGCAACCCTTTTCTGAAAAATAAAACCCTATTGCACTTCTACATACCAATCTCTTCAATTCTCGGTGCAGATCTGCTGACGGTGGGTTAAATATTTTACGTAAACATCTCCGAACTCGATTATTTGCATTTGATTTCCTAACATCTGGCAACCCTTTTCAAAGAATCAAAACCGCGTAAAAGCAAAACCCTTTAATATCTATATTTATAAATAAATATATTTAACGTTTTAAGGGCCGTTAAAGTATCTGTGTTAAGCTATAGTTTATTCATTTATTTCATTCATTAGTTAAATTAACTACAGAAAATTCCATAGAATTACTTGAAAATAGATAAGTTAACGGCCCTAAGTCTCCGAACTCGATAAAGAAATTTTAATTCAATAAAAGTCCCATATGATTATTATGAGAAGACGTAAATCATATTCGTCATGAAATAAACGACCCGAGAGACGAAAAAAATAAAATAAAAAGCCCATGTAATTATTATGAGAAGACGTAAATCATATTCGTCTTGAAATAAACGCCCATATAGTTATTATGAGAAGACGTAAATCATATTCGTCTTGAAATAAACGTCCCGAGAGACGAAAAAAAACAAAATGCCTATATAATTATTATGAGAAGACGTAAATCATATTCGTCTTGAAATAAACGTCCCGAGAGACGAAAAAAAATAAAAAGCCCATATAATTATTATGAGAAGACGTAAATAATATTCGTCTTGAAATAATCGTCCCGCGAGACGAAATCAACTTTTCCATTGTTCAATAATAATTATGGAGCAATATTTAATTTTATTTCTTATAATCGTTATGGTCTCTGATAATGTTACTTCTTTTCAGGGGATTGTTTGGGTAAAATTATCGTCATTAAATTTCGAAATATCGAAGTTTCAAGCATTTCTGAAATTTACCGTTATGAAAAAGTGGGCGTAATTTTAGTCCGATTTGGATAACTTTAAACGTTTTGCCTTTACGTGGCAACCACAATAATCATACCGAGTTTGGTACACTTTGATCGAACGGTTACCGAGATACACATATGTGATTATAAGTGGGTGGGGTCACGCCCATTTTCCAACATTTTATTATGTGTCAAGTTTGGGAGAAATTGGCGAAGCGGTTCCCAAGGTATACACATGTAATCATAAGTGGGCGTGGCTACGCCCATTTTCCAAAAATTTATAATATTCTTATTTTTCGCCTAAAAATGATTGTAAATATCAATTTTGAGTGAATAAGCTTCAGTAGTTAGTAAAATATCGCAGTTTTCGTATTTCTGAAAACGACCGTTGTTTGGGAGGTAAGCGTGGTTATCGTCCGATTTTGCCTATTTTCAATACCATCCGTCCATTAATCGATTTCTCTTTTCATTCTGATCATTTATGTATACATTTGTCTATATCTATTTCGATTCGTTTTGCCTGTTACAAACAACCGTTATGTGAACAAAGTTATAAAACTCTTGTGCAGAAGTGCGCTCAGGTATAAAAATACTTGACATCCGCATTCGCATCCGCATCCGCGGATGTTAGCGTTTAAACGTCAGCATCCGCATTCGCATCCGCGGATGTCTAAAATTCCACATTCGCAACATCCCTGATACGCGGTTTTGCATTTTGTTGATACGCGGTTTTGTACTTTAAACGATGATATAGATTAATTTTGGCAATACGTATTACAAATGTATAAACGCGAGTATATAGGTCAAATGACTGTAATAAATAAAAATAAAGGATGTACGTCAAAGATCAAGTAAAAGTGGGAACTTGCATGACTGCCCATTGATTGCTCGGAAATACAGCTTGAGAAATAATGTGTTTAAAGACAGTTTTATCAAAGTTGATAAATCTGACTTTTGGCCAGTTTTACTACTCAAATACTCCTATGTGCGGCGCCCGGGTAACACGACCTAATGTCGCATCTCCACATGCATAAAATATTAACTACAATTTGTCATTTTGTTTGCCCGATTCACGTTTTATTAGAGCACTCAACCAACCCATTTTAAGTCCTCTATCTATCACCATTTCAGCAAAGTTCTTCGGCGATCTCACAGTATCCGTGAGAGGTTCAAAGGCCGAAGCAATCTTCATTTCATCAAATACCAAAAAAAAAGCCTGTCTACAGGGATAGTTTTAAACGGGACGGGTTAAAATTGAAGAGGGACAGTAGTCATTATAAGTAAAGTAATTTACACCCCTATTCTGCAACTCTTTCGTATTCCGTTTTTACTCCGAATCGTAGAAATGGTATGCTGCAATC